CCCCCCGCCCGCGCGTGTGTGTGGTGTGTGTGTCAGTTTCTTTGGCAAGTGCTGTCCAGGGGCGACTCTCGGTGAGTGCCTCAGCACCGTGCCCCTCTGTGTGGGGTTTTGGTGCGGTTTATGTGTGTGTTTGTGTGTGTGACGGTTGTGTGTGCAGGTATGTGTGGATCGGCCTGGTGCGGAGCGACCGGATTGACCTCTTTGCATCGCTCGCCTACGCCCTCATACTGCTGGCGTGCTCACAGATACAGATCCTGCTGTTCTTATCCAAGTGAACCACACACCACACACACACACAGAGAGAGAGAGAGACCCCCTGTGTGTGTGTGTGTGGATGGATGACAACAGGTCCTACAAGTTGGCCGTGCAGATGGCCGAAGGCACTGCAGACGGTGCTGGTGGTGCCACTGCAACACCCCCGGACACACAGCCACAGCCACAGCCACAGCCACAGCAGCAGCCATCGGAGCCTGACGACAACCTCACCACCCCTGCCACCAATCAGCAGCAACAGGAGATCGTGGCCGCAGCGGCGGCGGCTGCTGTGGCGCCATCGCGGTCCACCGCTGGGGGAGGGGGAGGATCGGTCGCTTCCAGCAGAGTGAGATCAGATATACCACACCACACACAGACACTTACAGACACAGACACACACCGCCTCTGTTGTGTGTGTGTCGGCCAGCGGTCTACAGCGAATGAGTCTGTGCTGACCCACGCGGCGGCCACGTTAGACACTGGGCAGAAACTGTGGGTGCTGCAGCTCTATGACCGGATCGGGTGAGAGCACACACACACACGCAGAGAGAGAGAGGGAGAGAGAGAGAGAGAGATGGAGGGAGGGAGAGAGATCCTATGCCTTTCTGCTTCTGTTTCTGTGTGTGGTTGTGGTTGTGGTTGTGTGTTTGATCGGTTCACCAGAATCTGGGTGGTGTTTGCGTTGACCCTGACGGTTGTGCTGCTGCCGCCGGCCTCGCTCGACAGCTTCTTTTTCCTGGTGGTCCTCGTGGCCGGCGTGGCGCTGCTACAGACCAGCGGATACAAGTGACTTAACCTGACGAGCCGATACTAGCTGTCTGTAATGGCGCATTGGCACTCTCTCTCTCTCCG